GTAAGTTTGTTCATTGCCATCTCAGAATGTCAAACTCTTAGAGGCCATCAACAAAAACCGGTGCGTTTTACGCAGGGAACTTTCGGGAATGATCCATTTCATCACTACAGTTATGGCCCTTTACCAGTTATAAGTACTTATAACTTATAACCCCATTTATAGAATGTATAATCCCACTTATAACAAGTTATAACTGATAGATGGCCATAACTGTAGTAAAAATCATCCCAGCAACCCCCAGCAACCCATCCAGCAACCCTACGTTTAGCACGCACCAGTCAAGCAAGCGATGTTCTTTCGTGGGAGCCAGGAACTGCGGAAGAGTTTGGTCCACGTCCAGTCAGGCGGAAGTGAACGGCGGAAGAGAGAGATTCGTGTCCGGTGTCATCATGGCGATGGCAATGGCGAATCTCCAGAAAATGGAAGATTTAGCCTCTGCTTATGACTAACAGTTTGCCATGGTATTCATGACCCATAGAAATAGATGGTGTACCTGGGTTTACCGTTCTTAAAAATGGGTGATTTTTTCCATGGCGAACTGTTATATAAATCACCAGATGGTAATGAACACATCATCAACATCACATAAATGGGGGACTGTCCATTGCCATCTTGGATTCCCAGATCGTATGGTTCTAATGTCCACAAGGCCAGAATGGTCCCCATGTTTGGTAAAAGGGTCATGACGCTGCTGTTCAGCAGCTTCAGCAGAGGGAATTCCCCCCGACTTCTAGGGATTCAGAGCAGCTGTTCATTGCTTGCCATCTCAGGCAACACTTGGTGTTCTATGGCAAATTCCGGCGAAACATCCCTGTCATTTTATTCTGAAAAAATATCCCATATCTTTCTGCTTGCTGTCCTGCTTGCTGTCCGTGAGTATCCCCATGTTCAGTCCTTGCCAAATTATATGAATGCTTGGCTTGGATGCATTGATTTGTATGGGGTTACATTGATGCGCCCAACCACCACAGTTCACAAGGTTGTATATAGCTATACCCGTGCCTTGAGAGTCAGCTGGAAGGTCAGTGGTGTAACCTCCGTTACATATATCATTTGCCAATGAAACGCCAATGATAAGCCCCATTCACAAACTCAATGAGCACCACTACCCACTATGAACAAGTATTGCCATGAGAACCTCCATTCAGAAGCACCTAAAATACCCATGAGAACCATTCAAAGCCATTCAAAACCCTAGTTTTCACATGTCTCCACCATAGTTTTTCATCCGAATTCCTTCGGTCATCAACGTTTGCCACCCCGCCAGGTAAGATCTTGGGCGGCATCGACCATTGCTTCGTGAACCTTCCAGGGTGCCGTGGCCGTGGCATGCATGGTGTTTCATTTTTGAATCCATGAAATTCCTATCATTACATACATACACACATACACACATACACACATACACACATACACACATACACACATACACACATACACACATACACACATACACACATACATACATACGTACATACGTACATACGTACGTACGTACGTACATACATACATACATACATAAATATATATATATATACATACATGTGCATATACACATACATAAATATATATTTCTATAATATCATGATATTTCATGATATATCATGATGCCCTCCCCCTTCAAGAGTAATAGCTTGCGCTCAGCTTTCAAATGGCCTGCCTCCCATGAAGTGTGACGACGTTTATCTTCAACCAGCTTAGGTGCCAAGTTGACACCATGTGTTCACACATGTTAACACCCATTTCACTATAGCATGTTTGCATGCTCTCGTGCATTAGACTTTCAGTCCGAGGGCAAGTTATATAGTACCGACATTTCACTACCACTATGCTGTCCATGTTTTCTCACTTGGCTGTGAGTCAAAACGTTTTGGTATTGAACAGGTACTCGTGGATATCCCGTTCAATACCCCGTTCAATACCCTATTGAACAGAAGGGTCCCCATCGTTCAATACCCCCCGTTCAATACCCCGTTCAATACCCTTGTTCAATACCCTTGTTCAATAAATATCCTGCTTCAATTCTAGGTACTTTTTGCACAGCACCCTGCACAGCACCTTGGCCAGACTTCGCCACCGCAGTCTGGACAGCACCCTGCACAGCACCCTGCACAGCACCCTGCACAGCACCCTGCACAGCACCTTTGCCAGACTTCGCCACCGCAGTGTGGATAGCACCCTGCACAGCACCCTGCACAGCACCTTTGCCAGACTTCGCCACCGCAGTCTGGACAGCACCTTTGCCAGACTTCGCCACCGCAGTCTGGACAGCACCCTGCACAGCACCCTGGGTCTTGGGAGCTTGGGTGATTCCAACTGGTGTATTTGCCGTTTTCCTTTGTACTCGTAGTGATTTCCCGCGTGGCAGAGAACTTGATGACTGATTCGGCTACCGGTTTTTTGAGGTAGTTCGTTCAATACCCGTTCAATACCCGTTCAATACCCGTTCAATACCTCACTATGGGCTTTCCAGCTCCGTTGCCCAGCTATGCCTCCAAAGTCGGTGGGATGTTTGTTTAGGAAATGCCCTCCGTTCAATACCCCCCGTTATCCCCCCGTTCAATACCTCCCGTTCAATACCCCCGTTCAATACCCTATTGAACAGAAGGCTGCCGCATATCCACCGTGGACCGGGGGTTTTGACTCACAGCCACTTTATGATTCTTGATTTACTGGCATTGTTTACCATGTTTCGATCCTGAGAGTGTCTCGAAAGATACAATGTCTTTCCAGGATGTAAGATATTTGCACCGTTCCATATGTGCCAACTCCAACATGTATATTTACACATATATATATAGATACCTAAAATATATACATACATATGTGGGGCTTGATTTAAGCTTGAGCCCAAGATGAGTTTCTCTCGGTATGCTTGACCCTTTAATTGAAGTTTCACCAGCAATTTTGCATGTATATTGTTCTATGTCATCGTGCTTTTCATCCCCAATTGAAGCATCCATTTTCAGCCTGAGAATCCCACGGCTAGAGTTATACTATCTCTCAAAGCTCCAGGTTGTCCTATGCCATCATTTACCCTCTGGTAAATTAACATAGCTATGGAAAATCACAATTTTTAATAGGTATTTCAACTAGAAATGGCAATTTCCAATAGCTATGTTCAATTACCAGAGGGTAAATATCATGTACTTAGATGCGCCATGGGATTAGCGATGAAATAATCCATGGCTACTAACTAGTTTTCACTAACTCCATGGCCCATCTAAGCAGTTTCAGCCATTTGCCTCACTAGAGACACGTAAAACTAACTCCATATCCCCAGGAATCCTAACCAGGAATCGGCAAAATCCCATGGCCCATCTGGCTGTAAGAACCAAGAAAGACGATGGCTGTGTTGCCCTGGCTGTGGATCCCGCCAAGCAGCGACAACCAGAGGCACTTAAAATCCTGATGATTAGCAACATATTAAGTGACATCCAGGTACAATGTGAGGCCCCCCAGTGATGTTAGTTGGTTTATAAGCCCCAGTAACTATAGTTATTTGCGTACCATAAACCATAGTGACATTGGAGTTATGTGAACCAAGTGAACGCTATCGACTGGGGGCCTCACATTGTAAGATAAGTGACATAAGTAAGATCATCCTTAGAAAATTAGTGACACGGGCTAATAGCATCCCCAAACTCAATCGGTGGACTCATCCCCTGCTTAAAATAGTTTGACTAAAAATGTGGTACCCCATTATATCCACTGCTTAAGCATCACTATCACTATTCCTATCATCCCTCTGAACATGATCGTAAAGCTGGGTAAAGTCAATTCTCAGTCATACCCAAATATCATATAATATGGGTATATATGTGTGTTTATATATTATACTTATCCCGTTATGTCCCCATCAAGATTGCTGGTTTTAGTCCCCATCAATCCTTCCATTGTGTTCTCCTTATTAGTTGGGTACATATCCCCGTCGTATCCCAGTCAAATCACCATATTCATGCTATACGTGGAAGCAGTTCTGCCGAGAAGTGGATAAACCATACTTATGGGGTGTATATCCCAACTGAAAAAGGGGCATACCTTGCCAATCTCTACCATATACATATACTCATAAAATCATCACCCCTTGCTGGCAATATCAATCAAATATCAGTCAATTTCGATCAAACACACGTAAATCACCTATAAATCACCATATGACCACATAAATCTCTATCCTCAACACTCATATTTCACCATGTTCAATCACCATGTTCAATCACCGTATATGTCGATGTTTCTTCCCATACATATAAATCACCCATAAATCACCATATAAATCACATAAATCACAATATAAATCACCTGTTACATCCCCTATAATTCACCCATAAATCACATAAAAAACTCACCTAATAAATCACCTATATCCCCATATATACAGATCATCCCATGTTTTTTTTAATCCATCCCTTGGTGCCCCGGGCAGGAGCACGGTGGTGGCCATGCAGGACCTGGGCTCCGGTGGCAGCGATCACCACGCCGTGGCCACGGTCTTCGAGATCGACACCGCAGGACGGCGCGGCAAAGAGTTAGTGATGTTTAAAGATGTGTTAATATGTATGTACATATATAATCATATATATGTGTGTGTGTATATTATATATATATGTATATACGTATAATTCATATATATATATATTAATATGTATATATGTGTGTATTATATAAATATAATACATATGTATATATTTATGTATTTATTGGTATTACACACTGTATGTATATGTATATATGTTAATCTATGGATGCAATGTTGACACTGGATTTGAGTACCTGGAAGTAAGTAAGAACAATAGATTTGGCTGAATCTTGGTGATGGATAGTTTACACGGGTAGAAACCAGACCAACAAGACGAAGATATACTCTAATAATTCCATACCTGTCAGGTTGGTGTCAAACATGACGATGACGATGATGACGATGATGATGATGATGATGATAATCCAACACGACAAGATGTGTTTCTTCTCTAGGCGGACTGAACCCCCAAAAAACAATGCCCACAGGACAGAACGATTGGACCGAACTGGAACAGGTGGGGGCATCCGTGGGTCGGTTTACCCATCTATAGTGATCCCCAAAAGATAGATATGTAAAGGAGGGATACGGAGGGCTATGTTCTAAGGGAATTACCTTGTTTTTTCCGTTTAGGGAAGTTTTTTTGGATTTCTTGTTCCCAGCTTCTCTTCTTTTCTGCTTTTCCCTGACTCTTTGCCTCTTTGCTTCTCTGCTTCTCCGGTTTTCTTCTTTTCTCTGCTTTTCTTTGCTTTCTCTGCTTTCCTTGTTTTTTTCTGTTTTCTCTGCTTTTCTCTGCTTGCCTGCTTTTCTGTGTTTTTGTGTTTTTCTGCTTTTGTGTTTCTTTGCCTCTCTGCTTCTCCGCTTTTCTGCGTTTCCCTTCTTTTCTGCTTCTTGATTCTCTGCTTCCAGCCTTTTCCCTGCTTTGCGCGGCGCGCGTTTCGTTTTTTCCCATCAACAACAATCTAAGAAACATTATATAATTATAATATATAAATAAACCCTAAACCAGCCCTAAATAAACTCTAAACCAACCCCAAGTAGATCTTAAAGCAACCCTCAATAAACCTAAATAACCTTAAACCAACCATTAAAAATTCTAAACCACATAAAAAACCAACCCCCCAATAAAGACCTAAACCAACCCGATGACCCCCAGTTGCAAACTACCATGTTACATGAACAGTTTGAGCTCCAAAATGCTGCAAATACCATGGAAAATGAAAGCTTCGAACTGAAAATTGTTGCAAATACCGTTGAAATGGCAGCTTCCAGCTCCAAAATGTTGCAAATAGGATGGAAAATGGACAGACCTGGAAATCAAAAAACAATCTATATAAACGAAAAAAAAATCAAGACAATGCCGGACCCAAAAGTAAATCCCTACACCGTTCTATCTGTTTTGGGGATGACTATATGACAGTTTAAATTGATTGAATTGAGAAGAAGATGATGCAGTAACCACATATTAACCATCACATTTTGGGGAGGACCCTATAAATGACAAACCGACAAATCCACATGACTGCATCAAAATTGGATACATAACGTACCCAAAAGTGGTGTAATGCCAACATTACTACTTAACACGACTAGAACATACTGCAAATCTAAAATGTGTTGTCCCCTTCGTCTTAAATTTGATCCACATACCAGTTGTAGATTAGTGAATGGGTTTGATATATGCCGTTGGCTCACATTAGTCCTTTGGGGGGTATCTATCGTTGCATCCCCGTGTCTGTCGATGAGTTGTCTATTCTTGGTGGCGACTTGTCCACTTGATGTTGTATTAATGACATATAAAATGGTGTATTAAATCATCATGTGAATCATGTCCCATGAAAAATATTTTTGGTGTCTTAAATCTAAAATGTTCACTTTATGTTGTATTAAAATGCACATGTTCATTTTGGTGTACCCTCTGGTAAACTAACATAGCTATTGAAAATGGCCCATAGTTATAGTTGATTTACCCATTAAAAATGGTGATTTTCCAGTTCGCTGTGTTAAACTACCTGAGGGTATATAACTTAGCAATGTGACATTGCAGGCTGAGGCCGGGACCATTGGATCTCCATGATGTTGGGAATAGCTTGGCCCCGGCCACTGGTTGAACAGTTCATGTTTCTTTTCAATGTACCTGCGGTTAAAACCCCAAAAATCATTGAGTTAACATCATGTCGTCACCAAAGAAACGTAAATTAATATAGAGGTTTCCTAGAATATCTAGGATGGGGGTACCTAAAAATCATCCATTTGAATAGGATGTTCCATTGGAAACACTCCATTTTGGGGTACTGGTACCACCATTTTGGAAACCCCCCAAATCATCCGGTTCACCACCCAGCAACAGCAGCTGCGCAGAATTCTCAACTGAGCGCTTCCATCATCGGAGAGTCGGAGACCTAGTGGTGAAACAGAAACAGCCCAGTTTTGTTTGAAGATCTTCTTAGATGGGCCATGGGATTAGCGATTTATGGTTAGTAACTGGGGATATAACCCTCTTTATCCCAAATATAATCCATTTACAAACTAGTTAACTAACTCCATGGACCATCTAAGTTGAGAGAAGCCACCAAAATCCCATAGTCTACGATTATAGATGATTATATAGTCGAGGATTAGTCTATGTTTGTAATCATGTTCCCGAATTACTCAAATTCATTCAAATTCGATTTTGGAGTGAACCCCACCATTTCAAAACTCAGATGGGTGTTGGTACCAGCGTCAAAAAACACCCAAAATTGAAGATGTTGGCACATGTTTGTTGATCTGTTTGACATGACATGCAAACTTCAGAAACTTGTTCATCTACGTTTGTTTGATGCCATTTCACCTTTCTTGATGGTATTTGGTTTGTTTCTGATGATGTACCCTTTCGTTATTTACATTGCCATGGAAAATCACCATGTTTAATAGGTCAATCATCACAAGACATCCAGATTTTTTTCAGACATCCAGAAATGATACATGCTATACATGTGAAATTGTCCATTGCCATGTTAAACAACCAAGTAGGGATATATAAGGCATGATTCGTTGGACATCACTTCTTCAACGGCTCCCAGTTGAAAATTTAGCGTTGAGGCTACACGCGGACTTCCCCAAGGATGACTGGGGCGGTTTCTGGTTCCTTGGCCCAACCGTTTTACAGTCGCAAAATTCGGATATCTCTTAGTTGGCATTTAACAAACATTTAACGCAGCATAACACAGAAAAATGGATAAACAGGGCATTTCTAACAGGTACCCTCCTGTAAATGTTTACATAGATATTGACTGGAGTTTACCCACCATGAAAGAAACAATCATCTTCCGAATGGGATTTCCCCATGGGTTTTCCAAGTTTTTCGACATCGAACTGTTGGTGAATCCCCCAGGGTAAGTTATAGAAGCAAAAATGGATCAAAAATGGGCCATCTATACCATAGTTATGTCAAATTACCAGAGGGTAATTGCGATTTTTTTGGGAGATTTTATCGCCTGAAATGCCGGTAAATTTATCTGCACCTTGAAATCTCCTGAAGTTTTTTAGGTGGACGTTGGACCGCCATGAGTTGAGGCACCAAGTGGGAATTGGCCCGTTTTTTTTTAAATACATGTGTTTTAGTGAATATACACATACCCATAGGATCCATGTATGCCATATATGGTAACATTGATCCCATCAATATACCCCCTTTATGTTAGCATATATACCATACATGGATCCTATGGGATATGGCTATGGATCAATACCTATGAAAATACCATTTTTAATGGGATGAACATCCATGAATCCCAGCTATTTTGATGTGAACAGAAGGGGTACAAGGTTTTGACACACTGCCACATATGGTGATCGATCTAAAGGTCCTTGTAAGGAGTTTTAAGTGCGAAGAATGGCCATTCCCGGATAAAGGAATTTTGATCAGAACCCATATATACACAGAGGGTTCTCAATGTACTTGGGTGCAGTGCCAGTCTGTAAGTGGGTTACAATACTGTGTTTGCAGCTGTTATTTCCCAACTTCTGGTGGGCTTGCAACCTTGGTTAAACCCATTTACAACTCCAACTGCACCCCAAGCGCTAACTTTGAACCGTACATGTGATTTTCATGTGCTGCACCATATGTTTGTCCGTTTGTTTGTGATTGGCAAGAGCTCGTTTGACGACCTGAAATCGAGGCGGAGGAGGACGCCACAAAGGTAAGAGCAAAGGAAGGTGGAGCAAAAGGGAAGCATGGTGATCTTCACTCGGTGGCCCAGACACCTTATGGGAGAGATATTTGTTTCGCTTTCAATTCTTACCGTTGCACACGTTTTTGCCGCGTGAAAGGGTGCCGTAGAGATCATGCTGCGGAGGACGGTCACTTTTTGATTGGTGCCTCTCCCGGCCATGCCGGAGTGCTGGGAAGGTGCTTCTGAAGCTTAAAAGTGACAAAGGAAAAGATTGCTACCCTCTGGTAAACTAACATAATTATGGAAAATCACCATGTTTTATTGGTAAGTTAGTTACCAGAGTGCTATTCTCCTGTAATTCAACGCGGCTGGATTGTCGTCTTTTGCAGGGAAAATCATCTATACACGATTGCTTGCATTTGGATCATTTGGGGCATGTCCATATTTTTGCTCCACAGCAACAAACCTGCGGATGGAGTAGTATGAAAGACCCAGCAAAAAGCCCCATTTTGTGTCCACATCAGATGGTTTCCGCAGACTCTGGATCCATGTTTCAAAAAAACATGTTATTTTTTTTTCCGGACCTAATAATGATCCTAAAATGGATCCTAAAATGACTAAAAACAGAAGATTTGAATTTTAGCCTTGGGGTTGCCACATGATGTGGGGAGGGTAGGAAACCGATTTTGTATTCCCACGATCCCAGCTCCAAGGTGTGGTTTGGAGGAAATCGAAGCCAGCTACAATCCGGTAGGCATCGCTTGGCGAAGCTCCTGTGGTTTATGACTGGTTGGTGCTTTGGAACATTTGGATTGTTTTTTTCCATATATATTGGGAATTTCATGATCCCAACTGACGAATTCCATGATTTTTCAGAGGGGTAGGTCAACCACCAACCAGATGATGTGTGATGATTTTTGAAGGGTTTTTTGTCACTAAACTACCACTAAAGATCGCTAAAGGATGCTGTAAAGGAGATATGGGTATGAGTCAAAACCTTGGTACCCTAGTGAACCCCAAATAACTGGTAAATGGATGTTCATCCCCCCAAATATAGCAAGATTGGTTTTGAGACATCCCCATATATTTTTGGGGTGATTTTGGGAGATATGTTGGGTCAAAGTCCCCTTCCGTAGGTGAATCACCGAACAGTTCGATGGCCGTTTTTCTTGTCATTCCGTCAGTGAGCCGGGGTGGTGTCCGGATGGGACAAGCCTAAACTCCGATGATGTTTTATAACTGTTTGATCCTTTGTTCATGTTGCTTTAATTTGGGGTATACGGCATTTTGGGACAAACCAAATTATATATATATAATTATATATATACCTTAATTTATTAATTTATTCATGTATTTATTTTGCATAGTACACAGTAGATAGATCGGTGTTTGAACGGATAGATGGATGAGATGGCATGTGCGAACAGAGTGATGGTCCATGATATGCTGAACCTATTGAGGATTGAGGATTTTCCTATCTGGAGATGGTCGAGCAAGTTTGCATGCTCCAATCCTAGATTTCCATCTACCTACATACTGTATAATCACATATAGACACTTGAGAAAAAGTAACATTAAACAACATCACAGTGGTTTGTTTTACAGATTCTTATTTTTTGGTGTGAAGTACATGTTTGATAGGTATAAATCATAAGTTGATTGATTTCAACCCATGAACTAGTTAACTAGTTCATGTTATATCTTTATATATCTTCCTAATCAACAAACGTTAACGTTAAGCTTCCTGTTTCAGGCCAACATGGCTGGGTCGTGGACTGGGTGAAGGTGGGGCCAGCCACCCTTCCAGACCCTTCCGGGTGCTGGGAATGGTCGACCAGAAATTATAGCAGTCATGGGGTATGAGTCAAAACCCATAGGATCCATGGTGCTGCCATATATGATAACATTTACTAACATTTACCATCAATATACCCCAGTCATGTTAGCATATATACCAGCACCATGGATCCGTCATGGGAAATTAAGTAGCCCAATACTTAGATGGTTAAGACATGATTAATACATGAGTAATACTAAACATAGACATTCCAATCGGTGGTCCGGGGCTTAAATGGCTTCCCCCAATTTTCGTCCAGATCGTCATGGATAACCATGACTTCGTATTGAAACCGATGGTGTGGGGATCCCCATTTTAAGAAACCTCCCTATATAAGCTTGTTAAGACGTTATTTGTACAATCTTGTGCAGGGTATCTAGGATTGACATGGATTGACAGGATTGTGGCCACACACAAACTGGTTTTGAACAGTTTGGAGATGTTTGGAGCTTAAATGAGTTTATCACACTCCAATTGCAGTTTTACAGGGAATCAACAAACCATCAGATAGTCATCCGGTAGCATCCTTGAAACGAGATCATCCCCGAGCATTGAAACTGGCCAAAACTGGCCAACTGTGCACGTTTGAGATGACTTTATAAACTCATCCGAGAAACCCTTTCTTATCTAAGCCTTTACTTAGCAGCCAGTCGCGCACCAGATTGTATCACCTGGGTATAGGGTTTTGAGAAACATCAAAACCCAGAAGTGTCATGTTTCCTCTTCGCTCACGAAGAGCTCAACATGTCAGTGAAACGTTTTACCTTTAATGTTGCGCTAATACCAGCACGTCAACCGCCTCAAGTTTGCCATGTTTTTGCTGTAAGAATCTAAGTATTTCTTTTAATGGAAGAATTGCCAAAAAGAAACAGAACACGAACTAGTTTTTTCATGTTTTTTCAACAGTTTGATCTAGCTTCGTCAACGATTGTTGCGTCCCTCATGACTCTAATTGAATTGAAAATTCTACCGCCCTTCAGCCACTCCGATTCCCAGTAACGTTACGCCGGGCCTTGGCGGAGAGGTTCCAACCACGGATTGGTGCTGCCGTCATTGTCAGCGACAGAAAGATTGCAAAGCCTTCAGATTTGAAGGCGAGAAACTCCGAGAAACATGGGGAAACCATGTGTGTTTTTGAATCTGTTGAAAAACAGGTTAAGTCAGGGTTAGGCACCTTCCTGAGAAACAAAAACTTCCTTGCACTGAAAGCAATCAACCTCCAATGGGCTTTACGTTTGTTGAGTTTGGGACATTGGCTTCCGCTTTTTCGGAGGCATTTCTGGAAGCAATCACACGAGGCGGCGCTTTGCGGTGGCAAATTTCACAATTGATTTATGATCATCTGGTTGGTGGTTTGGAACATTTTGGAATATTTTGTTTTTCCAGAATATATGGGATAATCCTTCCCATTGACTAATATGTTTCAGAGGGGTTGAAGCCACCAACCAGTCATGATTTCTCCTCCAGTAAGCTGAGATAGAAATGAACAATCCATCATTTGTAGATCATTTCCTAGGGGTTCCCACGAATTTGACATATCTATTATCTATGTTAGTTTTTACCTCAGGTATCGAATGATAAATTCAAGCACTATTACATCAAAGCCATAGCTATCACGTTGTATAGTCAAACACGGACAGTCAAGACATCATTGGAAACAAAACGCAGCCGCTTTCTCAGCAATAAATCTTGAAGAAGCGCACAGAATTTAAAAATAAGGGCCGAAAAAGGGACTTGGGGCTTCCAAAGATCAAGGGAGAAAAGACTAGAACTCAACACAGAATAGTAGAAGAGACAAGTTAAGCATGTGTACGTATGGACAATACATTTCACTACTATATATTTCCTGCTTGAGTCAGTTTGGTTAGTGCCCCTTTCATTTCATGCATTGAAGCTGGCTCTAGGGTGCACAAAAGTCTCACCATAGTGGCGAGTCGATGCGAGTAGTGGCTGTGGTCCCAAAAAAAACAAACATTTCTGGTTCATGAAATAGCATATTATATTTTGCCCAGAACATGTCTGAGAAGCCGTGCCAGGTGTACTCTCATGTCACTTGGCTGCACTTTATTTCCTACCGTACCTGAGTATGACAGCGCTGGCTACCCAAAATGATCCCTGGTAGATATGGCAGTGTGTCAAAACCTTGTACCCCTGTAGTGAACATCAAAGTAGCTGGGATTTATGGATGTTCATCCCCCTAAAAATGGTATTTTCATAGGTATTGATCCATAGCCATATAAATACATCCCCATGGAAATTTCCCTATAGAGAATGGGGTCACTCAAGTGACCCCATTCTTTAGACAGAAAATGCTTGAACAGTCATTTTCCCTACATTTCCCGGGGAAAGTCCGAAAGGTCCTTCATGATTTTATATGTAAATGTATCTGACCATTTTCTAGAGAGATAAGGATAGATAAGGGCTGAAAAAAAAAATAAAATCAATCGAACTCTTGTCCGAATGCTTCCTGGGTCATTCCTGGGGAATGCTTAAAAAGCCCCATGCCCAGGGCCAAGTTCATCCTTCCATATCAAGTCATTTTCTAGACAGCTGCTAGATTGATATCAAGAGACAAATTGATTGTGCAATGCATTTTCTAGACCTCTATTGGGGCGCCCCAAAGCATCACAAAATAGATCCAAATTCATCTAGGTTTTTCTGAAATGTGACAAGATGCGTTTCAATGTTCTATTCCAAAAGTGTGAAGAATGAACTTCAGGATTCAGTCAAGTGTGCCAAAAATTTTGAAGTGACAAGAAAAGATATCTTTTCAGTGAGGCACGAGCCAAACAGAAAAAATATCCTCACTGAAATTTCCCAGAAGAGCATGGGTGAACTCAAGTTCACCCATTCTCTAGCTAGAAACTGCCCGCCCAGTCAATTTTCCCACATTTCCTGGGGAAGTTCGAAAAGGTCCTTAATAATTTTATATGTAACTGTGCCTGACCATTTTCTAGAGAGATAAGGGCTGGAAGAAAAAAAAAGCAATCGAACTCTTGTCCGAATGCTTCCTGGGTCATTCCTGGGGAATGCTTAAAAAACCCCATACCCAGGGCCAAGTTCATCCTTCCATATCAAGTTATTTTCTAGACAGTTGCTAGATTGATATCAAGAGCCAAATTGATTGCGCCATGCGTTTTCTAGACGATTTCGGGTATCCAGGAAACAGATATAAATTGACCATAATTTATCGAGATTTTGTTGAAATGTCATGTGATGATATGTTTTTTTTTGAACTTTCTATTCCAAAATTGTGCAGACGGAACTTCAGGGTGCACTCGAAAGTGCCAAAATATTGAAGTGCCGTTGCCAATGTGCAATATTGTTTGAACGAAGTGTAAGCCAAACAGAGACATTAGTATTTTGGGAAACCCTTGGCTCATTTAATTTTTGTCTAGAAAATGCCTGAACATGAAAGGGTCGATGACATCATTGTTTGGGGGGATTCCTTGGATCATGTTTTTTTGAAGTGGATTTTTAGTTCCTGGGGGACTAATTTGAGGTTTTCTGGGGTTCCCTGGGGAATATAGGGTGCCGGTTTCAGGAAGGGTTAGGCAATTCATTTTCTAGGGAAAACATGATTTATTTTGGGTCTTGGATTTTGACACACATTTCTTTGGTTTTTTGACTGGTGCAGCTTCATGCTATTCCTGATATTTTCTAGAGAACAAGTCGTGAGTTGATGATGAGTTGCACTTCCATGTGCCTATTTTCTTGAAAATTTGAACGTGTAGAACAGGCATAAACATTTCTAGAAAATGATTAGAACAGGCCCCTAAGAACATCGATCTTTATCGTTTGTTTCTCGTTTTCCAGGCTTGTGACTTGTGACTGTTCCGTTAATTTGTCTCGCACATGAGGATCATTTGAGCTACCCCCCAAATGGCAAGGTTTTTTTACCAAGGCATATTGAATCATTTTGTAGAAAAATGTTGTTTAACAGCTGCATTTTCTTGAAACGTTTGGCAAGACATGGCAACACACATGTTGAACCGAAAAAAATGTAGAGACCTTGGCCAACCTTGTTTTTATCAACCAATCTTCAACAAGTTTTGGGCAGAGGAATACATCACTTACGATGGCATTCGATTACAGGTCAGTTTCTGGATTTTTTGGTGGCAGAAATGACTCAATTTGATGTTTTCTGGTGATTCCTGGGGAATATGGATTACCTGGTTTGGCAAGGATTACACAATTCATTTTCTAGAGAAAACATTGTTTATTTTTGGTCCTCCATTTTTGAATCATTTTTTTTGGGATTTTTAGGGAACAGTTTTTATTGTTCTTATGATGGCATTACAGGTCATTTTCTAGACCCAAAGTGGTGAATTGTACTCTCATGCATCTGTTTGTTTAAAAAATGCATGTCCAAAACATCCATGCACCCCTGTAGAAAATGAATCGTCCAATTTTACCTTTTTTTTTTATTTTCTAGGCTTTTGATTGGGTCAGAATTTTTCTGGCGAGAAAATGAGGGTCACTTGAGTTCACCCTGAAATGCCAATAGGGATAAATATGTGGTCAGCCCAAATCATTCGTTGAAATTCAAGTTCTTCATGGACTTGACAAACGTAGAGACCTTGATCAATCTTGATCAACCAATCTTGGACAATTTTGGGAGAGAAAAAAAATCACTCGCTTTGTTGGCGCTGGATTGCAGGCTGATTTTTTGGATTAAATTTTTGGCACTAAATTTGGGTTAAATGACTGTTTTTTGGTGATTCCTGGGGAATATGGATTACCTGTCTTAGTAAGGATTGCACAATTCATTTTCTAGAGAAAACATTGTTCATTTCTGGTCCTCCATTTTTGAAACCATTTTTTTAGGGGAACATTTTTTATTGTTCTTATGATGGCATTACAAGTCATTTTCTAGACCCAAAGTGGTGAATTTTACTCTCATGTACCTGTTTGTTTAAAAACATACATGTCCAAAACATCCATACATCCCTCTAGAAAATGAATTGCCCAATCAAAAAAAACGTCCAATTTTACTTGGTCTTTTCATTTTCTAGGCTTTTGACTGGGTCAGAGATTTTCTGTCTAAAGAATGGGGTCACTTGAGTGACCCCCCCCAAAGTCAATGGGGATATAAATACATGTTTGTATAGACATGTAAAGACAAGAAGACATACGTTTGGCTAAATCATAGTGACCTCACTCTGACCTGAGGAATCATTGTTAGGATTCAGGGAATGCCTTATTTCACGTTAGTGAAATACATTGGAAATTACCTAGATATCTATTCAGGTTTCCTAAAAAAGGGGATACCCCCAAATCATCCAAATGTTAATAGGATTTTCTATTATAAACGATCATAAACGATCCATTTTGAGGTACCCCCATAGTTCAGGCCTTTGGATTTGGGCGTTTCTGAATAAGACCACAGCTCTTCGGGAACGCTTCTTAGGTCGCAATATGAGAAAGGCGTCGCCAACAGCAGCTATCTCACAGTTGCCTCCGGCTTGCCAGCTTCTGTGGCGATACAGGACGGGGGATGGAAATGTGGCAAGTGGTTCACCGGGAATTGCCAGGATTCTGTGGTGATCTGTATATAAAAAACAAGGCAACCGGTTGACTCGGCGCCCTTGTAAGGGTGACGAATTTGAAATTGTCATTTTTGAGGGTAAGAGAGAAAATGCTGGTATTTGCAGGAGTCGTCAAAAAATGTGTACAACATGGACATTCATTTCGATTGGCAGGCGTGTGACTCAAGGGTGAAAATTTGAATTTCGCCTGCGCGGTGACTCGATTTTTCTCTTCAAGGGTGAAAAAAAAACATTGGAATTTTATGATTTTAAGTCATCCAAATCACATCAATCAAGGCGGTATTCAATCCTCTTTGCTAACCACTGTTCGAGGTTAGCGGTGCCAGAGTGCTTGTGGCAGTGCTGATGCTACAGTCTGTAACAAGGCAGCGTTGTGACGCCAAGTCCAGCTGTAAGCATAACTGTACCGTTTTTGGTACACCTGTTGTTTCTTTTGTGGAGCATGGATTGAGGTCGCCATTTTTTTAAGTGTTTCCAAGTTCCATCAAGTTGTTGAGTTCCAGCAATAATGGTTCTAGAGGAAATCCAACCACGACCAACATAGGTTCACGCAGGAAATCCGCAAAAAGCGCGTCAGACAATGCAAGATGTCAGCAACGGCAACCTCTTCTGTAACGTAAAGGAAGTGCTCGATACGAACGTTAACATCCCCCCCCACCCCCCCTGACGATCATACGACAACAAATGCAACATGTGCCTCTTCCGTACCGTGAGGGAAGCGCTCGACACGAACGTTAACATCCCCCCCCCCCCTGACGATCATACGACAACATATGCAACCTGTGCCTCTTCCATGTGCAACACGTTAAAAAATCGAAAATTTCAAATCCTATACCCCCATTTCGGAAAACCTCATTTTTGAAATTTGCAACCCTTCCACGGGATCGTAAATGGCACATCTCAAAATCGACAACCCTTCCAAGGGCGCCGTATCAGCCGCATGCCAAAAACAACTGTTGAGATATCATGGTACCCTCTGGTAAACTAACATAGCTATTGAACATGTCCATTTATAGTGGGATTTTCCCATTAAACATTGTGATTTTCCATAGTTACATTAGTTTACCAGAGGGTACACAGTATCCAATTGCACTCAGGATTGTGACAGTTTTTTTTACATTGGGATGCTGGTATCCACAAGAAAAAACCATCCCAGTCGCCCACCGCAAGAAACCCAATTGGGGATGGTCTGTAACTCGGTTTACCTCAGTACCAGTTGGGACTATGCATATATAATCTATATATAAATACAGGGTTTCTTGAGTTTGTTGCAGTTAAATTTACTGTACGTCCTTCAGGAGGTCATTTTAATGGAACTAGGGACCAATGAGGCATTTGAGCATGTCTCTGGTAGCATCCAACTGAGTAAGAATTCTGCAGCCTTTTCAAGAGACTGGCAGATTTTCTCTCACCATGAATGACCCACATGGAAGCCTAACAGTATTAAAACAAAATCCTGAAATGTCTTTTCTATCTACTTAAGGGGGTTGCTTTTGCAGCATTTTTTCAAGAAAATACAAAAACATGTGTGACAAAAGTGGACATGCGTACTTGGATGTCCATCCCAGTTAGTAATTGGGTAACAACCATCTCAAAACCAAGTTGTATATGATTATATTGGATGATCCCTGATGATTTAGTTTGGTTCCTATCCAGTTATTTAATTGCCTTCGGCAAGCCCGCCGGGCATAGACAGGTGGCCCCAAGGGAGTTTGATGTGCACTCTAGGTGGAAACCGGAGAGAGAAGCAGAAGAAGAAGAAGAAGGGGAAGGGGAAGGGGAAGGGGAGACGAAGACAGAGCCGTAAAACGGAAGCAGCTTGTGTAGCAAGTGCGTGCTTGAACAACTTATGGACCGCATACCAAATGAGTACCAGTACCAGTAGACGACTGTAGTGCTGTAGACAGTGTCATTAGCTAGTTTAGTACTTGCAGAAAAAAAGAAGGAGGAGTAGGAGGAGGAGTAGTAGTAATAGTAGTAGTAGTGGTGGTAGTAGTAGTAGTAGTAGTAGTCGTGGTGGTGGTGGTGGTAGCAGTAGTAGCAGTAGTAGCAGTAGTAGCAGTAGTAGTAGTAGTACAGTACTTAGACTTAGACTTAGACTTTGATACTTTGATACTTTGACTTTGACTTTGACTTTGGGTCGGCAGGGGGGGCACACGATTCCAACGAAGCAAAAACGCGTAGCAAGAGAACAAAGGAACAAGTACAAGCCAAGAACAGAACACGACGAACAACACCTTCCAACCAGACACGCTGGCAGGCCGGCGGATTACTAAGTGTTATACTGCGTGTTCACGCAGCTAGGATATTTAGCATTGTTTTGGTAAGATATGATCAGAGATCCCATATCCCAACTGAATTTGGTTCTTAAACAACATCCAAACAGAAATTATTCTTGCCATTCTCGCGCCACCAAAACCACGAGGAGCTTCAGAATAGCTTTGCGAACAGCAAAGTCTACCTCAATTCCTAGGTGCGCCGACCTCGGCCTGTGCCATCCGGTCCATGGGGAAACCAACTGGATGAGCGCTTTAATACTTTAACATCTTGCCATAAATGGGATATATACATATAGCTACATTACCTATATATGTCTGCGAGTCAAAATGTACAGCCCGATCCATACCCGGAATCCACAGGCCGACCCATACCCCCGACCAACTGGTGGAACGAGCTCACTGGCGCATATGAGCCCAAGGCGCTAGTATCGTTCAGTTTTTGGCAGCAGAAGTATCACGATTTGCACATTTAAAGAATTTAAAGATACGTATTTAATGATATTTAATGTATTGTCAGCGGGGACCATGGGTTTTGCTGCACAATACATAACACAATTTGGACACCCTATCAACTCATCTTCGGGAGAACGAAGAACCATGGAGTTTTTTCCAGTCAACCAAGAAATCTTGGTATAGTCAACATTGGTCAACCAACAAACATTAGTGCAGATTCATAGCTTCAACATTGTCAGACAATCCAAAACCAGGCATCAAAACATCCAAGGCGCAAGTTTGTTTGTCGCCTTGCTTCGGGTCACCAGCTGGTCCTATCGTTTTTGCAAAGACCTTGGTAACTTCCGCGCTGAATGCGAGATTTACGTGGCGCCTCAGATGCCCGTGAAGGGCCTTTTAGTGGGTCGGTAGGGATCACCGGAGGGGACTGGATCTGATATCGTGCTCGTGCTGAAGATCCCAATGATCCCTATGTCCAAAGCCTGATCCCAAGGGATTCGGAACCAAGTTTTTGTCCTTTTGATGTAGATATGTTCCAACCATCTTTGTTGGTTCAACAAGATAGACATATTTGATAATGAAAAAAAACAATTTCAGGCAATTGTTGCTGGTTAACTTCCCAAGATAACGCTCCTTTGTTCTTTGAAGCACCATGTAAATTCCTTAAATCACCATTGTTGCTGTTTAAATCACCACGAGGATTCAATCACCATGGTTGTCACTACACTGCAGAAACTGAGGCCCTCCAGTTGTAAGTTGGTTTAGTTAGAAACCCGTGAATTCTATAGTTATATCCCCAAACCCAACAGTTATGATAATCGTTATAATCAAACTTCATTAGCTAATATTAGCTATCATAAAAAGGCTTTACATCCCACTGAATCCCCATTTTTCCCGAGAGCGTCTGAGCGCAGGGTTCTTCCAATAGTGGGGGTCTGTATCTCATCTTCTCATCTTCACACCTTCTCATCTTCACATCTTCTCTCACACCTTCTCATCTTCACATCTTCTCTCACACCTTCTCATCTTCACATCTTCTCTCACACCTCATCTTCACATCTTCTCTCCCACCTTCTCATCTTCACATCTTCTCTCACACCTTCTCATCTTCACATCTTCTCTCCCACCTTCTCATCTTCACATCTTCTCTCCCACCTTCTCATCTTCACATCTTCTCTCACACCTTCTCATCTTCACATCTTCTCTCACACCTTCTCATCTTCACATCTTCTCTCCCACCTTCTCATCTTCACATCTTCTCTCACACATTCTCATCTTCACATCTTCTCTCACACCCTCTCATCTTCACATCTTCTCTCACACCTTCTCATCTTCACATCTTCTCTCACACCTTCTCATCTTCACATCTTCTCTCACACCCTTCTCATCTTCACACCTTCTCTCACACCTTCTCATCTTCACATCTTCTCTCTCTCTCATTCTCTCTCCTTTCTCTCTCTCCTTTCTCTCTCTCCTTTCTCTCTCCTTTTTCTCTCTCTCGCCTTCTTTATCTTTCTCTCTTTAGGCCGAGGGTGGTACCGGCGGTGAGTCACGAAACGTCAACCCTTTCGCACGAAATGAGGGTCGATCGTCAAAAACTGAGGAAAAATTGCGATTTTACTTGTGCCGGAGCAACCCTTTCGCACGAAATGAGGGTCGATCGCCAAAAACTGAGGAAAAATTGCGATTTTACTTGTGCCGGAGCAACCCTTTCGCACGAAATGAGGGTCGATCGTCAAAAACTGAGGAAAAATTGCGAATTTACTTGTGCCGGAGCAACCCTTTCGCACGAAATGAGGGTCGATCGTCAAAAACTGAGGAAAAATTGCGAATTTACTTGTGCCGGAGCAACCCTTTCGCACGAAATGAGGGTCGATCGTCAAAAACTGAGGAAAAATTGCGATTTTACTTGTGCCGGAGCAACCCTTTCGCACGAAATGAGGGTCGATCGTCAAAAACTGAGGAAAAATTGCGATTTTGCTTGTGCCGGAGCAACCCTTTCGCACGAAATGAGGGTCGATCGTCAAAAACTGAGGGAAAATTGCGATTTTGCTTGTGCCGGAGCAACCCTTTCGCACGAAATGAGGGTCGATCGTCAAAAACTGAGGAAAAATTGCGATTTTACTTGCGCTAAAACAACCCTTTCGCACGAAATGAGGGTCGATCGTCAAAAACTGAGGAAAAATTGCGATTTTACTTGTGCCGGAGCAACCCTTTCGCACGAAATGAGGGTCGATCGTCAAAAACTGAGGAAAAATTACGATTTTACTTGTGTGT